GCTGAAAACACCATCAAGGAAGTCTGTCCACTGGAAGATATAAAGCGGGGTGAAGAATAGATAAACATGAATGAGAGACAGCTCTGAGATTTTAGGAAGGTAGTGATTACGCTGAACAGAGAATGTAGAGAGTGGCGACAGATGCTGAGATACGACAACTGATTGAAGAAAACTCACGGCACGGAGATGTGGTGGTATACACGGATGGATCTGTTAAACGAGGGGAGAAATCTGAATGGGGCTTCTCAGCAAGAGTGAGTGGCAGATTGGTGCAGGAACAGCAGAGAGCATACGATATGACAACATCTAGCATGAGAATGGAGATAGAGGCAATCACTCAGGCTCTCAAATGGGTCACCACAACATTCACAAGCACATGTGATCTTTGTCACAGACTCTCAGAGCACTCTGAGGAAGATTGAGAGTGGGAACCTTAGAGCTGAATGGACAGAGCTCCTAGACAACACTGAAAAAGATCACATAGATCTTCACCCCGGGTCATGCTGGAGTCAAGGGGAATGATCGGGCTGATGAGCTCGCTGGGAAAGCAAAACCAGAAGAGAAGCTAGTGTGCCCTGACAAACCTGACGTTCAGTCAGGGAAAAACGAGAAAAAGAACAATTAAAGAGTCAGAATACCATCATCTTGAGCGACTTCGTGAGCTTGAAATGGATGGGGCGCCTGCAGAAGTTCAAGACTTAGTGGGAGGAGCAGAAGGCTATGGAATCTACCATTGCTTGGAACCGTCATGCAGGATCTATGTATACACACTTCGAGATTGCTTCTTCAGGAGACAGATCCGAGCGCTTGGGAATGCCCCTTGTGCAGTGATGTTGGTCCTTCACACAAGTAAACAAGTATAATACCAACTTCTTGCTGATTTTGATGATCTGTTGAAGAATTTCGGTCGAAAATAAACACGAAGCGATGCTGCGTGCTAGACATGTCAGACGAGTTTTACAACATTGTTGAATAGCACGTCTGACGCGTCGCGCAGCTCAGCTGAGAACGGACAGACCACAGCGACGCTGCTCAAGCACACGATAATGTTCATTTGCACGGTGCGAGCTAGGCGAACTACAGGTTAGACCTACAGAGCCACTTCGGGACCGACCTTAGTTGCTTTTGTTTTGGTTTAGAACAAAATTTGTGGGGGGGGGGGGGGTAAATAAGCAGTTGGGAGTTAGGAATACACAACGCGGCTCATTCAAGCCGGTCTGATTCTTTCGCTTTTACTTTTAATCTTTGCTGCTTTCTATTTCCCTTCCATTCCTGAAGCCCTCCTTATAACAATAAATAATAGGTACACGAATAAATTTCTCGATCAACAAACTGACAATTACAATAGATATTAGCAGAGACACTAACTCTGATATTAGCAGAGACACTAAAATATAGAGACAGGAAACGAGGCCTCGCGGTCCGTGACAACAGTGCATTTGCGAACGTGACCGCTGAGACGCGAGCTAAAAATAACCAGGCGCGGTATCGACAGCGAAGCGCGTCGCGTCTAGCCTAGGCCTAGGCCTTATCGAAACGAAGCGCGTCGCGTCTAGCGGGGCCTAGGCCTAGCTTTCTGCAGCTTAGGCCTAGCGCAATCAGAGAACTGGCCAAGGTTGCATTTGTAAACAATGCCTCTACAATTTCTATACTCTTCTGGTCTACAGAAAAGGTTACACATGTTGATGAAAACAGGACAACAGATTTTAAAATTGAATTCTAGATCTAGGCCAAGTTATAAAATAATGTCGATCTAGCATAAAACCAAAACATGTTTTGATAATGTAGACCGAAAACTAGATCTAGAATGATCTACATCTAGATTATCTAGATTAGATCTAGATCTAGATCTAGATTCTAGAGATCTAATTATCTAGTCGACAGTGTCAGTAGTTACATAAGAAAAAAAAGTCATCAAGACTCTAGATCTAGATTCTAGATCTATAGGTTTCCAGCATAATAAAAATATGCCTGCCTTAGCCTAAATAGATCTAGATCTACATGCGTTGATCTAGATATCTAGCTAAGCAGTTTAGTTTAAGATAGCCTAATAAAGGTTAATACATTTTTACTTATTTTACTAATTAGTTACATAGCCCTGCATGGGGTCTGTGGGTAGGGAAGAGTTGGAGAGGAAAGAAAGAGAGCACGCAATAGCATATAGATCTATATATGCCTATAGGCAAGGGTGAGAAAAGGCAATACAGACTGTAGAAATAGAAAACAGATTTCGTTTTGTGTAGCCTAGGCTAGGCATATATGGATAAAAACAGGAATACAAAGCGACAGATCGAACTCACCAGAGGCCTAT